AGTGGTTTGTGCATCAATGGGGTGTTTGTGGGAGCTGGGGGAGCACAAGAGGGGGCGAGGAATGGGGTCGTATACTGTGCTGGCTTCTGGGGAGTTGGTGAGGATGCTGAGAGCCCCACGAGCAAGGCAGGAATGTGCAGTGACTCCCGGCAGGTCTGTGCTGGGGGATTTCGGTTTATGGCAGGGAGGGGTGCCTATGCCTGGGAGAGCACCGTGGGGCATTTGGCACCTCAAAATGAAGAGCTTCAGCCACGAGAGATGAGCAACCCTGAGGTACAGCCTGGCCTGAACAGCCAGAGACAGCGTGGGTGTGCGCAGGCTGTGCTGCAGGGGGAGGTGACAGTGGGGTGTACTCAGCCTGCGCTCCGTGCGTGGGAGGTGACAGCGGGGTGCTTACAGGCTGTACCCCACAGAGGAGTGGCACGGAGGTGTGCGTGGTCTCTGCGGCAGGGGGTGGCGGAGGCACGCGCACAGGCTGTGCGGCAGGGGTAGGTGATGCGGGGGGGTGCAACCCTCTCCTCCAGGAGGAGGTGGCACAGGGAGGGGTACAACCCCTGTCCCAGGAGGAGGTGGCAGCAGGGTACCTGCAGCCGTGCAGTGGGAGGAGGCATGGGGTGGATATGCAGCTGGTACCACAGGGAGAGGTGGCACAGGATTATGTGCAAGCTGTACTGTGTGGAGAGGTGGCAGTGAGGTGTACACAGCCTGTACGCGGCGGGAGGAGACAGTAGGGTGTACATAGCATGCAGCCTGGGGCAGGTGACGACTCTTCTGTAAGCAGCATGTCTGCAAGGAGGCAGTAGTACTTATTGTCCCTATCCCATTGAAGAGAGCATTGGGTGTCTCCTGCCTGACAGTCCCTTGCCCCACTATCACTTGAGACCTCATCCTTTGCTTCCTTAAAGGCTCGCCCAGCCTGTGCTACCTGCCTGGGGCTCCTCACATCGGGCTGGGCTGCCTGGGTGGCTTGCAGCTCAGTCCAGTTTCCCTCTTCCCACCCTACTGAGCCAGGTGCTGCTCATTGCTCCTTGCCCTCCTCTTCCTCTCACTTCTCAGACCCCCAGGTATCTGCCTGATACCCTTGGAGCCAGTGCTGGTCTGTGGCGAACATGGGCTTCCCTAGCTAGAATCTGGGGGGCTTCTCCTTCCACCTTCCATCCCTCTCTCCTGATCTCTCCCCCTGCTCAGCTCGGGCAGTGACCTCCCCCTTCCCTGTTGCTTTCCCCTCCCCATCAGTCTCTCCTGACTGGCTGTCTGCTGGCCCC